GGTGGCAGCTTCCCGGTGTGCAGAGGGGTTCCCCTCTGCAGAGGGGTTCCCCTCTGTGGGAACCCTGAGGGTTGTTTCTGGTGCACTGCCCTCCCTGCCCCTGTTAGCCACGCGCCCTGTCAGCCCATTTCCCATTACCCTTTCAGGAGCTGTTCTGCCCTACGAGAGCCCACAAATGCCGCCCTGGTGGGGAGGAGGGGACAGCTGGAACCCAGGGAAAGGGGCTGGGGCTGTGGCTGGGGTTGTTCCCACACTCACAGTCCAGTTGTGCCTGCTGGGCGGTTTCGTGCACATATCGGACCATATTGCGCAGAAAGATTTTGGAGTGGGACTTGATCTTCTCCGCATCACCCTCAGCTGTGGCCTGGCGGGCCCATGGCCAGTGGAATTGGATGCTCCAGTTGGCAGGTTCCAGTGCATAGATGGGCACGTCCCCCAGAAAAGCCACCCCGAACACTTCAGCAGAGCTGACGTTGGTGAAGAGGCTGGTCTGGAGCAGCTGGAAAACCTGCATCTCTGCTGGGAAAGAGGATGGGGATGGAAAGGGCTGCAGGAAAGAGGAGAGGAGTGGGGGGGCTGGAGGGGAAACAGGGGTTTTCAGATGAAGTATAAAGAAGAAATTCTTAACCCTGAGGGTGGTGAAGCACAGACACAGGTTACCCAGAGAGGTGGGAGATGCCCCATCCCTGGAAACATTCCAGGTCAGGTTGGACGGGGCTCTGAGCAACCTGATTGTCCCTGCTCATTGCAGGGGGATTGAACTAGATGGTCTTTAAAGCTCCCTTCCAACCCAAACCATTCTATGGTTCTATGCTCTTCACCTCACACCACAGGGACCCCCATCAGCCTGCACCTGGCCCTGCCTAGGCAACCCCCAGCCATGTCTTTGCTGGACTTTCACCTCCTTGCACACTCAGGGTTGCTCTCCTGTCTGAACTTCCTCTGTCATCAATGCTCTTTGTCCTCTCTATTTTACTTTCAACGAGGTATTTCTCTCCGCACAGCATTTCAAGCACTTCATCCCCTCCCTGCCTCCCTCCTGCCCAGCGCCTGATGTCTGGCTGTGCAGAGTGGAAGGTGGGGGGCACCTTAGCGCTTGTTTGGGGTGATGGTCCCCCCAGAAGAAGCACCCGTGCCAGGACCTAGACCTGCACATGGCTCAGAGGACGTGGAGGATGGAGGAGGTGAAAGGGCATTTCATTCAGGTTTGGGGGCTCCTGGGCATCAGGACCTCAATGAGACCAAGGCCTGACAGGGGCAGGAGAGTAGCCCAGCCCAGAGATCAATCCCACCATCCAATGTCTGCTGCTGCTTGTCCCCGCC